CTTGTAATTACTTTCATGTGTACCACCACCCCTGAAATGGGCGTAGTTTTACAAAACCACACCCTATATAAATACAATTCTAGAAATTTTGCTACCAATAAACAGCTTTACTATTTCAGAGAGTTGTAGACACCTTTTTAAAAAAAACCTTTAGTTGCATCTCGAGATATAGTTAGTTATTTCGCGATAGTCAGGTTCACAGAAGAGCCTAGGTTTGCAAGCCAACAAATTGAAATGTAAAATACCTACATTAAAAAATACGCGTTGAGAACCTCCTCCGTTTTTTCGTCGGATAAAAATTACATCCTTTCTCCAAAACTCACCTCAATATCATTAGATTAATGGAAATACAATACCATAACTCTTCCTTATGTAGATCTCTAGAAAATTCCATTGTTTTATTACTGATAATTTTATTGGCTTATCAATGTTTTAATATCGACTCAAGGTTTTAAATAATGTTTTTCCCATTCTGTTAAAAACAGTCGCCATGACATTATCTTAGATATCATTATTACACCAGCAATTTCTAGATAAACTACATAATTATCAGATATTCAATATTTGTCAGTCAACACGTACTTGCAATCATCATGGATGTTCATCAAAACATGTTTTGAACAATACGTCATTGTTATCAAGGCTTAAAACTGTTTGTTCAGGTAGTTATCAGTTTTAGCAAGGACAATGCACTTTTTAAATTAGTGATAAGCAAAAAAGATCCTTAATATTAAAACTGTTTATTCTCTTCTCTAATTTTTACCCAATTGCGCCAGAAGAAGGGTTATGTTTTTACCTACGTAAACACATAACATTTCTTAACAAGTGACGCAAAGGCTTAATTTAAATTCAACTATTTTAGTCAACACTTATGTACCTACAAGTTCACTTCCTTCCTAGCACGCGGCTTTGAGCAAATAATAAATAACAAACGTGTTAACAGATAGTTCGATGACACATTAGTGTTTTTACCATACTTTTTAACCTAGACCATTGTCTTAACGTAGTAAAAAAACGTGATTGAATTTCTAAGAATATGCGCTCACGGTTTTTTTTTGTTTTGTCACCGTGACATAAACATTATATCTGTTTCTTTTAAACTTTTATAAAGAGAAAAGGAGAGACAACGTAGTCCTTATTCTTAAATACAACTGAGGGACGATTACGCGAATATTAGGCCTCCCCAACCCTTCAAGCCAGCTTAAGATCTGATGATGATGACGAAATATACTTACTTGATTGATAATAAAATTAAATAATAAAGTAGTAGAATGACGCAATATTTCACTATATTTCGGAGCATCTTATCTTTGGTTTAAAAAAACAATTTCTAGATCTATCCAAAGGAAATTACACTATACTTTAGTTTAAATAAAAGTTAATTTCGCTTGCTAACTTCATTTCTTCTTCCACAGAATGGCTGCAAACACCAACGGCTGCCAGCCTCATACACTTCAGTTGCGGTATTGTGGCTGGGATCGCTGCGTCTCTCGCTACCAACCCGGCTGACGTACTCAAGACCAAAATGCAGTTGTACCCTGATAAGTTCCCAAACGCTTTTGGTGCTGCGTTGTATATTCATCAGGTAAGAATTCTACACTTTCTGTACAGAGGGCCTAGTGTGAATTTATGTCTTTTTTGTTGGGATGGACTGTCCCGCCATTTGATATTGTACAGCGCCCCTAGCGGGAACTTTCAAGAATTAAAATCGTCATATATTTTTTTAACGCGCTCGCTAGTGACGACATTTAATTTTGATGTAAACTCCCACTAAGCCCTCAGAAGTACCAATAGTTAAGTGTTAAAAAGTCGTTAGGAATAGGTTTTGGTTACTTCATAAATGCGAATAGAAAAAAGGTTATAGGATTGATCGCCAGGCGGCGCCACTTTTAATAGTTTTTTTCTTTTACGAGCGTTTAGCGTGTCAGAACAGAACAAAATTAGCACAGCCTGAGTTAAGCAAGTAACTATTCTCGATTCTTAGCAATAAAGTGCAAATTTACTTGCAGCTGTGCTTTAAATCATTGCTAAATTGGGCGAGAAACTTATCGTAAACGATACGCTCGTCGCTCATCTACAGCATGTTCGGGAGTGTTCCTCTCATTACATAACTCCTGGGAACTCTTACCCCAACCCTAGGAGGTTATTCTTCAATCATAACAACACTTCAATACTCACACTTAATTATTGTTTAAATCATTATCAAAATCTATTACATATTAAATATTAAAACATTTTTCAACTAAGTCTCTCGAAATCCAATAATACAATGTCACATTTTCTTGCTTTTCTACACCTGTCATATTTTCAAAATTGAATAACTTTCTTTTGTCTATTAGAAATGGACAGTAGACGAGATAATATGGAGTTGTTTGTATAATAATACAATGTTATTGACATGTCTACGCGTCTTCGCGGTTGGTCTGGTCGTTGAATTAAAGATAATAATGTACTTAAATTCTCGCACTTAATTTGTAAATGAATTAATAATACCTACTAGTCAAACGATACGTAACCTTTATATCCCGGAATAAGCAAATTATCAGTATTCTTTTTTATAGTTTTGTCTACACTGTATAAAAAAAGTCATCAATATTGCTAATGGTTCAACGACAATTATTAAGGAACAGTAGAATGTTGACTGATATAATTGATAACGGTTTTTTGCCATATACATAATTGCGCAGTTTCTTTACTTATCGGACCATGAATACCTATTATACATGGCTCCCGCAGGGGTCAATGCTGGGGGCGCTTTTATATGTATATTATGTCAATTATTGTGATAGCATTCTTCAAATGGTCAAAGATTATCTGAAACTTAATTAGGTATCGCATGATATTGATGTCGACGCGTGCTGAAAGTCTAAATCAAATAGGTAGGTAGTTAGATTTGTTAAAAAATAATGTAGTTTATGTCGACATGCCATGCTGTCATATGCCTACAGTGGCTCACTAAGGCTGAGTTGCACCACCTAACTTTAACAGTAACTATAACAAGAACCGGTGTTTTTTGTATGGAGCTTGACAATTTTTTTGCGTTTTTAATGTCAAAGTAAGATGATGCAACCCAGCCTTAGTCAAATACTGTCATGTCTATGATATGACGCGGCGTCACATTGGCTAAATGCTTTGCTTGCGCGAGCCATATGTATGATAATCATAATAAAGAATTTGAGGGAGAACTGTCATGTCTATTATAACGTTTTCTATGAATTTGTTGTTTACAAAAATAATCATGGATTTTCTAATTATTGCAAACACAACCTTAAAACCTTACACTATAGAATAAGGTTGAATATAGAGCTAACCAATTGTTTCTTTTTGTTCCAGACATACGGTATCAAGGGCTACTTCAAGGGAGCAGTGCCAAGAATGTTGCGTAGAACCCTCATGGCTGCCATGGCTTGGACGGTATTTGAAGAAATAACTCGAACCATTGGTTTGAAATGATTCAGCTGCCCACATTGAAATGATATAGACTGCCCTCTGTGGGGAGTTTTAGGAATATTTTTGTATCTGCCAATACTATATTTTTGTGTTGTCCTTGAAAGTAGAGTAGATGTTACTTCTTGTATCAGAGTTTAAATGAGGTTTTGAAAAAAATTGCACTAAGTGAAATTAAGATTTAAATTTTTCTTGATTTTAAATGTTGCCTTTTGTGGAAAATTATATAAATTGTACTTTAATTAAAACAACATTTGGATGAATTTTGAATAATAATAATACAGAATTGAATTGATATCAGAGCAGTTAAAATTTGGACATGAAGGGTGCTAAGTTCCTAGTGGTTTCGTTTTCGAATAGTTATTGCTTTAATTCGTAGTTTTTAATAATTGTTTATTTAGTCATTTATGTAATCAAATGCGTTGTTATATTTTATAATCCTTTTACAATGTTTGTCTTTATTTTTTAAGTTTACATTTAACCATAAGGGCTTTTCGAGAATTATAATGTTAGTGAGTAGAATCGCCGTTATGTTACCATATTATTTGTATATTGTGAATTTAACTTGTTAATACTCTAGTTATAGTTATGAAATGTGATATTTTGTTGAATAAAAAATGCACAGAACTAATGTTGTTTACCTTTGAGTGTCCATAAATCGACTAAACTGCGCTTACCGATTGGCGCCAATGGCGAGTAACTTTATTGATATTTTGCTTGAGGCTAAGACAGTGGCGTCAACTAGTGAGCGCTGAAGCGGTAGGAGGAGTTTAAATGACCTATAGATGACCCACGCTGAACTGTCCCGCCAAACTCAATGACAGGGGGGCGCTACCATCGTTCAACTATATGGTTTCCAACATGGCAAAAATCGGAACCAGCGATCCGGTATTGATGGTGGCGCCCCACTGTCAATGTCATTGATAGGACAGTTCAGTATTTTGGAACTATACACTGAACCGTCCCAGCTATGACATTGCTAGGAGAGCGCTACTATCTATACTGGATTATTAGTTCCTGGCATGGCGACCATAATAATAATTATGACATTAAATTTACAGGAAGGCGCTACTATCAATACTGGGAATAGTGGAATAAGCCGTTTTTGCCACTTGACGTTTCAAAATAGTTGGATTAAATCGCATTATTTCAATCACATAGACATTGTTGCTTTCGAGTGTTCTTCTGGGTCTTATCGTCACCCGCTAGTGGCGCCAACTGGTGAGCGCATGGGAAAACCTAATTATTTGCAAACTTTTCATTAAACGCAGTGGCTCTATCTATTAGTGTAAAGCGAATCCAGAGTAAGTTAGCGATTTTTCAAGCGGCAGTTTGGTTAGATCGTGCAAACGTTAATATCTTCATTTACTACATAAATAAAGAGAAGACTGCCATAAATGAAACAAGATAAAATATAACAAAACTATTAGTCATTTATTTTACATATTTACACAATTGTTTTACTGTTACAATCTCGTTAAGCCTAGGCGCAGACCACCGACTTTTAGTTGGCCTTGTTACTTCTAATTTGTATGAAGAATCGGCCGATACCAAATCTGTGTAGTGTTAGCACTTCCATACATGTTCATACTGATCAACAGCCCGACCCAAATATCGGCCAACTAACAGTTGGTGGTCTGCGCCTAGGCCAACACTTGATATTTACTATAAATGGCTAGTTTGTCTCATATAAACTCAAGGCCTTCATATTTGAGGTTCTCTATGAGAGTGTCGTGCAATAACACTGTGCCGTCAGTTTTAAATGCACAAATGTATGTAGCAGTCTTGCCCTCGAACTCTGTGGTTTTCAAAGCGACTATGGCTTCATCTTCTGTTCCTGGAATGAACTTGAACGAAGAGAAACCATGCTTTGGCTGATGCTTGGTGATCTGAAATGTGAAAAAATAAGATGACATTTTTATTGGCTCTTACTCCTTTGGGAAATTTAATTAGAACACTACAAAACATTCTGAAGTACAGTCGCAGAATGAAAAGGTTCGTCATCTTAGTGTCGGTTTTCGCTTGCACTAGGTATAGATGACCCACGCTGAACTGTCCCGCTAAACTCAATGACAGGGGGGCGCTACCATCGTTCAACTATATGGTTTCCAACATGGCAAAAATCTGAACCAGCGATCCGGTATTGACGGTGGCGCCCCACTGTCAATGTCATCGACAGGACAGTCCAGTATTTTGGAACTATACTGTAAGAGTCAAACCTGCCAACATAACAGTGCAAGAAACAGAGCTGCTAACATTTAAATAAATATGACGTTTGCTAACAAATAAGGTTTTGCTTGTTTATTTTTCTATCCCATCAGTGCAATGCAATGATGACATTGACCAATTGACAATAGTTTTTTTTTATTTAATAGAAATAATAATGGCAGGTTGAACCAACAAGAAGGTTTTAGTTTATCAATCATAATAATCTTCTTGACAAGATAAATCGTCAAACAACTTTGATCTGAATAATTTTGAACTTTACTGACGAACAGTTAAAGATTATTTTCTCTAACTCGAGATTATTCTGTAACATAGTTTCAAAAGGTAATATGTGCTCGCGATTCGTTGAAGGAATCAATTTGAAAACTGACGAACCTTTTCATTCCGTGACTGTACATACTCAATACTCAAGAAATAGCTAGTAACATTATGTTTCATTTCCACGTCTATTAATTCAATATGATAAATTGAATACTTTGTTAATTCTTGCTTAAAATTAATGGATAACAAATTTTAAAATATTAGAAGTGTAACAATCGATTTAAGACTGGAAGACATAGCGTGGGCAGGCCTCCCACTAGGTGGACCGACGATCTGGTGAAGGTCGCGGGTGGTGCCTGGATGCGTGCGGCGCAGGACCGGTCTTTGTGGAAATCCTTGGGGGAGGCCTTTGTCCAGCAGTGGACATTTTTCGGCTGAAACAAATGAACCGATTCAAACATAAAAGATACCAACCTCTATGGCTTGTACATTATTAAAGCTATTGTCCGCTGTAATCAAATAATTGCAGCCCATCACTTCGTCCTTTGTTTCGTTGTACGAATCGTGGCTACACCGCCGAGGTAGGAAATGCCATTTCTGTTTGATCGGTGACCAAACTCCGGATTCATGGATCATGTACCCTGGCCAGTGGATGCCGATTGATCTTCTTATTGCTTTGTATTGGTTTATCCAGCTTTGATGGTGAACCTGTAATGTACAAATAAAATTAATTTTTAAATGGTTAAAATTAATTTGCATAGTAAATGATGGCTAACATGAATTTTGATCTGTATCTATGAACAACAGTGTTGTTAATATTATGAGCTCTAGGCACAATATGTGTGCTAGAGGCTAAATAAAAGATAAACTATTGAACAGTCCATTAATATTAATGTTTCTGTTATCTTAATCAACTCAGTTATTATATACTGAACGCTTAACCCACCATCACATGTGTTTATCTGACAAATACTTCAAATTCACATTACATGTGGGCAAGGACAAATTGAAGTTTTGCAAGCGAGAATAAATGTTTACCTACTATAAAATATCCTACCTCTCCATTTACATTGATGGCCTTAACCCACATAGGATCATAACTTGAAAACTCTCCGCTTGCTGTGGTCCACTCTTTGCCCATCGACCCTACGTGCAAGATCTCATCTTTGACAGTGGCCCATTCAGACTTGAGTCCTTTCTCTGTATGACCATTGCCATCGGTGAGGACGATCCATGGCACCATTTTTTTATCGTCTATGATCTCGAATACCTGCAAATGGTAGTAGAATTAGTATTTTTTGTATGTTGAATTATTTGGAAACCTAAGAATTGTGAAAGTTTGTAACATTTTTGTATGAAAAAATTACTAAATAGATTTCAAGGTTTATGGATACCAAGGTCAATTTACAGGGAGAGATATAATGTTTGATATATTATATTGTTATAGGTTTAAGTGTTTAACAATCTATAAAAAGATCTCTTATCACTTTGTTATAAAGATAAAATAACCAATTCAAGCCACAATCATGGGCATTCTTTGGTCATGCAGGATGTGTATAATCTTTCTACAATTACCTAAGTAGGATTCTACTTTGATCATTCAAAAGCAGTAGACAATTTTAAATAACTTACAATTCCAGACCTATCATCAAAACTGAGCAATCTTCCATCGTATACAATGAGTTCCGACAACTCCATCCCTCTGCCTTTATGGGAATAAGTTGACGACAACTGTGTGGCCGGCAATAGGTCCCAGGAAATCTCCGCATAATGTCTAGTCTTGTGATAACTCAGGTACCCTTTCTTTAAGTAGCTATTGTAAGTATGAGGCTTAGTAGCACTCTTGGAGTTAGTGTCTAGGTCCGCGACGATGCCTATTCTGAACGCCACGAGATCACCTGTCACTATTGGCGGCGTGAGAGGATACGTCGCGTTGTACGGCCTGCCAGTATTCAACCATCTATGGACTGTTGGTATCTGTGTCGTCCACCAGTTGTAGTAAATGATTATTAGAAGAAACAAACCCAGCAACACCATCAAAAACATGAACTGGGGTTGAAGTCTCACCGCATTGCCCACTCTGTACGTAGCTGGAGTTCTGAGGGCTTTCCGCCAATCGCGCAAAGTGCCTCTCATTTTTCTGTCTTCGAATTCGTAGAGGTCATACATATCATCAATTCATAATGGTTTTCATCAACAATTTGACTAGAATTTCACGAGAAATCTCGGATTTAAACACCTGTTTTAAAGCTGAATAGATAATGCTTTTTTTTCACTGGAATGTAGACGGCTTCGAGAGTTTAAGGCACTTGCTGTCACTTCTTTTTAAACGAGGCTATGTCTCTTGTTAAAGTATGGGCATTTTTATTAATTAATTGATCCATTTAATTATTATATTACAATATTTCTCAATTACAATGATGACACACCACAAGGTACGTTCGTGGTAGAATATGACAATGACATTGACGTTTATCGCATTCGCCTGACGTTGACAAAACTTACGTTTTGTTCGATAAAAAAACTTAACATATTTTATTGCATTAATTATTTAACTAACTATCATGATCATAAGTAAATAATAATTTTATAGTTATTAGGTAATAAGAATAAAGAAGAAATAAAAAAAAAGATTAAGTCATAATTTCACGAAATTCATTTTGAGCGGATTGAAAAATAAAATAGTTCTATTAGGCTTTGCTAGATGTCTCTGTATGTTTGTTCCTTGGCTTTCTTGCATTCAGTCAGTTCCACTTCTAATGAAAGTAGAAGTAATAGAAGTTTGAAAAAAATTCTACTTACATAATGCCCAATTAAAAAGATAACATTTCCCTAACCTATTTCTGATGGGTTAAAGAACGTAACTATAACGTTTTTCATTAAAGTTAAAGTTGACTTGAAAAAGCGAACTGCCTAAGGCGGGAATCGAACCTGCTTCTCCATGAGCTACTTAGACACTAGATGAACCAGTCGACATTTTAAAGTGTATTGAATTTTTTAATACGCTGTTGCAGCCGCGTTTATTTCATCAATATTGGGCATAGTGCTTAGGTACTTACTTAGGCCTATGTCCGTGGTTCGATTCCCACTATCGAACTACGCGGCACATAGCTCGTAGAGCTGATGGCCGCTGGGGCAGGAAAATTCTTGAGAGGCGACCACGAGCCGGAAGACGTAGCGTGGGCAGGCCTCCCACTAGGTGTACCGACGATCTGGTGAAGGTCGCGGGAGGTGCCTGGATGCGAGCGGCGCAGAACCGGTCTTTGTGGAAATCCTTGGGGGAGGCCTTTGACCAGCGGTGGACGTCTTTCGGCTTCGGCTGAAACGAATAAATCATAATTAATTGCATAGCTGGGCATTAACTCGTTAATCCGTTAATCGTTAATTAACGAAGTTAACATTTCTATTAACGGATTAACTTTTAAGTTAACTTTAAAAAATGTTAACGGACTCGTTAACTTCCGTTAAATTATCCTAAGTCCGTTAATCGTTAATCCAGTACCTACTATTTACCAAAAACATACAGCAGACACGCTGAAAAACGCGTTCTGACAAGTACGTTCGGGCTTCCAGAACTTCCAGAACCCAAAACAACAGTTTTTGTAACCGATCACCAACGCAACAATGTAAAAAATGATTTTTTTTTATTTATTTACAACTGAATTTCAGTTTTCCTCAACCGATTGAGCTGGGTATACTTATGTAAGTATGTTGACAATGCAATTTTATAGTACCATTGAGCTGGTCTGATGATGGAGTCAAGAGGTGGCCATAGAAACTCCTAAATGAAACGGCGGAATTGCATCGAATTTGGGTTCGTTGGATTTTGAGCACTTTAGTACTAAATGATGTCCAGAGCCCCGATTACGGTAACTTTTAACGTTTCCAATCCAGACGCGCTTCTGATTTTGCGATACGATTGGTCAAAACAGCTGACGTACGCTGTTAAACGACCAATCGTATCGCAGAATCGAGAAGCGTGTCTGGATTGGAGACGTTAAAAATTACCGTAATCGGGGCTCAGGGTCCTGATGATGGAGTCAAGAGGTGGCCATAGGAATTCCTAAACGAAACGGTGGAAGCTTATCGAGTTTGAGTTTGTTGGATTTCTCTTTTCGAGCACTTTGGTGCTAAATTGTATTGTAATTTGTACCAAGGCTCTGAGATTGAGATACAACTAAAATCTATACTTATAATAAATCTGTAGAGAGGTCAATTCTGCACATGAAATATATTTTCAAAATAACTATCAGGGGGTGATTAGTGATCGATACTGATGCCAAAAATGCAATCAGTAAAAATTTTGTCTGTCTGTCTGTCTGTCTGTATGTTCCTTATAGAAACAAAAACTACTTGACGGATTTTAACGAAACTTGGTACAATTATTCTTCATACTCCTGGGCAGGTTATAGGATACTTAGGAATTCCCAAGGGAACGGGTATTAGCGGGAAAATCCTTTTGTATAAAAAATCTAAACCGCTTAAGTTAGACGCTTGAAATTTGGCAAGTAGGTACCTTAGTAAACTTAAAGCTTAGTTATAACAGGATATTGCAAAATTCCTACGGGAACGGGAATTAGCGAGAAAAAACATTTGTATGAAAAAATCTAAGCCACGTAAGATAGACGCTTGAAATTTGGCATGCAGGTACCTTAGTAAACTTAAAGCTTAGTTACAATAGGATATTGCAAAATTCCCACGGGAACTGGAATTAGCGGGAAATTCCTTTTGTATGACTGACTCACTGACATACCCACGCACAGCCTAAACGGCTAAACGTAGGCACTTGAAATTTATAAGGGACGTAGCTTAGGTACCGTAGAGGTGCACTAAGAAAGGAATTCCCGAAATTCCGACAGGAACAGGAATTACCGGGAAAATCCTTTTGTATGAAAAATCTAAACCGCTTAAGTTAGACGCTTGAAATTTGGCATGACCTGCAGACCTTTCCCTTAGTAAACTTAAAGCTTAGTTACAACAGGATATTGCGAAATTCCAACGGGAACGGGAGTTAGCGGAAAAAAACATTTGTATGAAAAAATCTAAACCGCGTAAGATAGATGAAGGGGGTAAAACGGGATCCACGCGTACGAAGTCGCGGGCGGCCGCTAGTGTATAATAAAATTATAATAAAAGCTTTTATTCTGAAATGCAGTTGTACTAAAACGAAAAAAATAATTGTACTTATTCAAGGTTCAAATAATTTCGAAAACTTGTAGCGCAAACATAAAAGAGGAATTAATTTCATGCGTGATACAAGCTTTCGAAATTATTTGAACCTTGCATACAATATTTTTTTTTCGTTATTATCACGTGTTAACGGATTAACGATTAACGTTAACTTGCGTTAAATCATCCGAAATGCAACGTTTTAACGTTTAACGAAGTTAATTTTTTTAGTAACGGTTTAACGATTAACGAAGTTAACTATTTGATTAACGGTGCCCAGCTATGATTAATTGTCACTTAGGTAGGTACTTTTGAGATTTCCGACTGAAGGAGTGGATTAATGCTATTATAGCCTGACCAGGAACATAAAAACCCTGGCTTAGAGGCGCGTCAATTGCATTTGATAGTGCAACACTGAGTACAGCGTACCTGTGTTAAATTAATAGGCTAACTTTATGTATCAGGATCAGGATTCAGGATTACGGGCTAATTTGATATTTTCATAAATTAACGAAAAAACATTATTATAGGTAACCTGGTTTAAATAAATTAAATGAAACCATCAATTGAGCTAGTAGGATTTATTTTATTATTCATTAATAATCAAATTCAGAACTTGAATATTCAACTGCAATGTTTTCTCATGAACGCTTCAAACTCGGTACTTCTTTCCCAATTCCATAAAATTCAACACTTAGAAAGTGACAAAAAATTTTAAAATAGGTAGTTGAAACAAACCACAGCTAATTTTCATAGTGGACTGTACTATGTGATAAACAAGTCAGTCAATTTGACAACCTTTGTCGGAAACATTATTCAATGAAAATATTGTCCGAACCCTTAGTATTTCTCTTCGACAAATACTTTAACACATTGTGAACCACTTTTCTTTCACGACTATAAAAAGATTTTAGCAATTTAATTCACACATGTCAATGAAGTTTTCAGTTACTGTTGCCATTAAAAGAAATTAGTACCATTAGTTTTCCGCAACATGGCGAGTGTTTTTATGTTCCTGGTCGGGCTATACTTAATTAGAAGCTTTTGTTCGTGCATAGTTTTAGGAGGCCTTAAATTCACGTTCTAAATAATAATTATAGGCCAAATTATTTGCAAAACGGCTGATTCATGCCACCAAGAACTTGTATGGAGCTTCGTCCGGTATCTATGACTCAAGCCAAAAAAGAAGCCTAAAATACAAATTGGCAGACCAAATAGGTAGTTTAGTTTAATTTTATTTCAATTACATTTTTTGTACAGGATGTCCGTCTACGATGAGTGTAATCACTTTTAAATTTCTTCATACAGTGAAAGCAAACTTTTTTTACCTACTTTGTGTTGAGGTGGTCTGCCTAAACTCGTGTGTGGTAAACCCAAAGCGTTGTTGCGATTTTTGAAAATTGTTACGTTGTTTTAGAAAGTGACCGTGTACTAAATATAAACGCTTCGGATTTTCTTTTTGTTTGGCTTTATAATTTATCCGAATAATTTATTAAATAAAAAAGTGTTAATTAAATGCTGCTGTCATAAAAAAAAAAATAAGTAGGACTACGAAATCGTGTTGGTAAGTTTAGTTTTGAGGAAATAAGTTTACGCACAATCTTTAAAAAGTGGTTTGAGTTCAATTTATGAGTCGACTCAAAAGTTATTATTTTTGAGTAAACTAATTAAAGGTTTTATAGTAACCTAACCATAAATTAAGAAGGTACCAGAGACACAAGAAACGCCAAATATTTTCATGTCAAATATTTTGATAAATGTAAACATTTCAAAAATTTCTTTGTTGTAAGTTGTAACAATTTGCATGGTAAAATAAAATGCATGGGATATTTACCAATGTCCTCTGGTATTTAGAATTCTTGGCTTTCGCTATAATACTTATAGTGTTCTTCTTGTTTATTTTATATTTGGCAAAAATAAATTATTTAGGTTACAATCTGCGATACGATTTGAGGAAAAAGTGAGTTGAAAATTATTTTTATTTATTTGTCTAATTAAACTTTTGCACATAGCCGATGTACCTACATTGGCGGACGTCTTTCAGCTGAAACGAACGAACGCAGTGGCGGACTTAATGCCTTAATTTTTCTGCTACAATTTTTTAAGATCACTGTGTATTTTGGTAAGCAGGCTTGAAGCAGGCTTGAATCTTTCTAATAGGCGAGAAATATTGCTAAAGTGGTATAATAAAGTGGAAAATAAACCGCAACTGTAACTTAACAATCCCGAAACAAAAGTTGCTCTCTTTAGCAACCTGTGACAAACTGACGCCACC